GAGGTTTTTCTTCCTGTAGAAATTGATTGAGCGATGTGAAAAAAAGAAAAAGAGGAAAAAATTCAATTCAGAAATCCAGTTTTGATTCATAAGTAACATTTTGTAACATAAGTTAACTAAATTAGTTAAATGTAATTTAAGACAACAATAACAAAGTCGTTAATATATTAATATATAAATTAGATTATTATCGATCTGGAATATTTAAAAGTAAACATTTTTCTTCTTATAAAAATGTTACGATTAAAATAATTTATAAATTTAATTAGCAGTTATAAATGAAACGAATTAACTAGAATCGTGATCGAGTTTTGTACTAAATTTTAATGTAGAAAGTAAATAATAAAAGTAATAATCTAATACGTTTGCAGCTGCATAAACATGTATACGTTATATTTAATTATTAAGAATATTAAGAGGCGTATGGATTAAAGTAAAGAAGCAATACTTTCGTATCTAAGTCAACTTCTAATCATAAGAAAAGCCTGGAAAAATTTGAAGTCGCTCGCTCTCTCTCTCCCCTTTATAAAATAAAATTTTACCTGTAAAATTATTAAACCGCAAAGTTTATACATAATATTTACTCACTTTTTTTCTTATTATTTACTCCAGTAGATAAAAATTTAATTGATCGATGCTGACTTTTATCACTATTCGGTAGTTGCGTGTATACGCATAAGTAGCGCATATATCTCTCACCTTCTTATTTAAATTAAAAATATCTTATTCCAAAAAATTCCTAGGCAAAAATCAAAGAAAAATTTAGCAAAGTTTTCAAAATACATGACAAGAAGTTTAGATGAATTCAAATTTTATATTATCTACCTGATTAGATGATTTTATTAGACTAATATTTTAGAAAATCTTGTCAACAACACTTCAAAAACTTTCGCTGTTGTGAGTCGTATCGATAATGCTAAATTATTCAAAAAAAATTTATATAGTTATATAAACTTATGATTTAGAAAAAAAAAATTAGCTTGCCGATGATTTAATGTAGGATTTCACGTGTTTATTATAATTATTAATTGCTTATTTATTTATATCTAACTCTAATTATCCACACAAATCAAGAAGTTTTAATAAGGACTTAGTAATACTTGCCTCATAAATAGCTGAATGTCTAATTATTTTGTCGACAATTTAACTTTTAAACTACCAAATTAATCAATTGGCATTTAATTAACTTCCTCCTTAATTTACCTTTTCACTGAAGAAACGTCGAAAGTTTTTATTTACTTTTAAACTACATTTTTTTAATGTTTTTTTTTTCAGTGCGAAGGAATTTTGTTTGTCAAAATTCATTCCTTTCGAGCTAATATTTTAGCACTTTCACTCGAAGCTTCCTTTCCTTTTTTTCTCTAAAAAAAAAACTATTTTTTAATTTGTAACATTTAATTAAATTAATATTAAAAAATTGTTTACATTTTTCTCGGTAGTAATATAATATCTTCTATTCAGTTTATAACTTTTATAGAATTTTAATTCGCTCGAAAATATTTATTCTTTATTTATTTATTTATTAAATAAAAATATTTAAAAAAATAATAGTAAATTAACAGCTAATAAAAGTTGTTTTAAGAGTTCTTAAAATAAAACTTTTGTATCACTTATTTTGCGCTTCATTAATCAAGAAGAATTGAGTGGATTAATATTCGAAAATATAGAAAAAAATTAATTTTATCGACTTTTTATGTATTAAAAAAATAAATAAAATTTACATTATTTACCATTTTTAAAAAGTCAAAGTGTAGGAAATGAAATCAAAAAAGAAAAAAAAAAGTCGAATAAATATACTAAAGTTCTGAGAAAGTAAATAAAAAAAATAAATTTGAAATTGTAAGAAGATTTACATAAATTAATCTTTAATAAATACTTCAAAATGAATCTTTGGTATTTTATAAAGACATAAAAAAGAAACGATATCTTCGATAGAAACATTTATTCCAAGGCCGAAACTAATAACTGACCCACTTTACACAGAATTAGTATAATGGAGACATTATTTAAACTATTGAAAAGAATGTTTTAAAAGAACTCCGACAACAATTCTACATTTAAAAACTATTTTTCTAAATAAGAAATTTTTAAATAAATAAATTCATCCCATACATTTCTACTTTTCGAATATTAATAAAAATATTGTGCGATAGATAAGTTAGAAGTTTATAATGGCTACTTTAATTGTAATTTATAAATTATAAATGTTTGGCAATTTTAAATTAAAAGGAAGATTTTCTAAGAGAATTTCTAATTTGTAATCTTTAGCTGTTAGATAAGTTATAAAGGAATTTAATAATTATTTTCTAACAAAATATAAATGACAAGTTGAAGGAGATTTGTTAGAAAGGAGTGAGATGAGTTTAAAATAATTTTTATACCATTTTTACTTACGAAATACTCTCAATATATTTTTATTGCGTGGTAAAATGGAATTAGAAGAAATTAGTTTGTAATTATGTGCAAGAAAGATTTAAAACGAGTATTTTTATTGGATAGAAAACCAATTGAGCCTGTTGTTAAATTGCTCAATTGGTTAAATTATCGAAGTTACAATTTTCTAAATATTTTACTTCTTCCCATTATTTTGTAGATAATGAGACATCGGATCTTTTTATTTTTATTTATTTATGTATATATTTTANGCTTTTAGTGATAACGAAGAAAACATTATTTAATTTATATTAATATGTATCACTTAAATATCTTTATTAAAATTTACTTATCTTAATTATGAAAATATAATAGCATGTTTTTTAATTTTTGGAACCTAACCTCCTTTTCGTACTAGTTCTTTGTTTCGCATAACACGGCAATTTTTTGGAACGTAACTACCGTGTTATACGGGGGTTACCTGTAATTTATATACAGTAATTAAATATTCAATAATAAACAATAAAAAATAATAAATATAATTAATATAATTTTATTAAAATATTTTAAACTTTCCACTTAATGAAGAGAATTGATATTGTAAATTATCTTTAATTATAATTTTCTCTGTAATAATTTTATTCAAGAAATCCTAATTAGATAAATAATTCAAATAAATTATTTGAAATATAGCACTATGAAAGTACAGTAATACCTTGACTTATGCAAACCCGGAGTTATGAGATTTTCAAATCTTGTCGATTCGTCTTTTGTTTGAGCATTACAGAACTCTTGATTACTCACTCCCCCCCACACTGTTGTTTAGCTTACATGTTCAGACGTGTTGCGTGGAATGGACATATAGCTAGAATTTATTTTGTGTTATTTATTTCTGTGTTTGTTTTATCTACGGAGACTTGAGAGACTCTACTATGTCATCCAAACGAAGTAGAACTGATTCTTATGCATCAAACAAGAAAAGAAAAACTTTATCTTTGGAATGTAAAGTTAACATTATTAAAGACTTCAATACAAAAATGAAAATTTGTGAATTGGCAATGAAGTTTGATCTACTGGAATTGACGGTCAGAACAATTATAAAAGGTAAAGAAAAAATTCTTGAAGCTGTGAAAAATGCTCAATCTTTAAATTCAAGCATCATTCGTAAACGTCACTGTATTTCTGCTTCTAACACAATGAAGTGCTATAAATTAAGACACTTGGCAGGTTTCCTCAACTTTATTTAGTTGATACATGTGAAAAAAATTACACGTTTTGGGCTCTTAAGCCCTTCTTCAGCCAACTAAAACATAAAAAGGGATATAACACATACATATAAAAAATACAGAAGTTTTGTAGAATTTTTTTAAAAATTATTGTGATTTAAACATACCTATGCATACAAGTTTTATAAATTGAAGTGACAGCTTACTCTTGATATTTTTTCAGTGACATCAGCTTATTCTCAATATTTTTTCAACCAACTAAAATATTAGGAGAGTATACGACATATATATACAAAAATATACATAATTTTATAAAATTATCTTGATTTAAAGCATATCTTGAGTATGACTGTTGTTAAAGTCGTACACAATTGATCATACTTTCCACTTATAAACCAGTTTTGTAAAATCCTTGATTTAAAACATACTTTGGACTCAACAATTATCAAATGGTATACAATTGATTATGCTTTCCACTCATAAATCAATTTTGCAAACCCGCCTTACAAAATCTTTACTTCCTTTGATACGCATTGACAATATAGTACGAATTTACATATCTGACGTCTATTATATTTTTACAGTGTATATGATTGTTGATTTATTTAACATTTTAATATTTAATATTATAAATTATTATATGAACTAATAATAATACGATATCTTGAAGTTGGTAAACATGATTAACATTTAATATAAATTTACATATTATTTGACACCTATTACAATATTACAGTTTTTGTTATTGTTGATTTATTTAACAGTTCAATATTTATTATTATAAATTAGCACATTGATCACAATAATAATACAGTGATCACAATATCAAATATTGATATTGTGATCACTGTATTATTAATCACAAAATCAAATATTGATCACAATAATTGAATCTAGTGGATACAATTAATATAAAATTTTTAACCAGTTTTCGTTTATAGAGATACTAGGATTTTTATTTATATTATTTTGATTTTTTATTATTTCTATACTTTCTTTAAATTTTCTTTTATATGTATCTTTTTCTCTGTGTAAAATTTCTATATTATTTTTGTCTATATTACAATTATTTAAAAAGCAGTGTTCATGAAAAGCAGAATTTAGTCTATGATATTTCAAATCGGCTATATGTTCTTTCAATCTTACTTTAACTTTACGTTTAGTTTCACCTATATAAAATTTTTTTATCTTCACATGTGCACGGAATCTTATAGACTACATTTTTACTTTCTTCTTTCTTTATTATATTTGTTTTGTTAACTTGTTTTGCACTTAATCTGGAGAGTAGCTTACCATATGTTGGTACTAATTTTACATTAATTTTTTTGACTTCTTTATTGAGTTCTTCGTTTAAGCCTTTTATGTATGGGAAATGAATGCATTTTATTTCTGTTTGTTTAGGATCTATTCTTATTGCTTTATCTGTTTTTTTAGCTATTTCTGTTTCCCAAATACTAAGAATTCTGTTTGGGTATCCTGAAAGTATAAATTTTTTTCTTTAATGTATTTAAATGTTCAATTTGCTTAGTTTTTATACTAGTTCTATTTTTGATCTTAGTGTATTCCATGATCCTATGTCTGTAATAACAGGGTAAATTTACAATTTGTTTCATCTTTTAGTATAATATTTTAATATACAGGTAACCCCCATATAACACGGCACTTCTATAGCACGGATTCACTCTAACATGGTTCGAGAATTGGTACCACCCCTGTATAACACGGTACTATTATAGCATGGTTTCACTCTGACACGGTTTGAGAATTGGGTAAAACCCTCCTACAACATGAAATGTAATAAATTTTTACATACTTAAGTAATAATAGTTCATGAAAATAATAATTTTCATGAACTGACAGGAGCTTGAATACAATAGTATCAAAGATTGTTAGTTTTGTCATCTTAGGCTGCTCAAAAAAGAAACAGTATTATATAACACAATATCAGTCCTCCAAAATTTCGCACTAAAAATTCTGTACCTCCTATTAAATTTAGTGGGAATCCAACACTGCAATACTGATTACCTGTCAAGGCAATGCACTTGGATATTTTGATCAGTAATCAAACTTGTGTTTTGCTGCATCATCAACAGTTGATTCTATGCAGTCAAATTTATTTGTTATTGAATTCACCTTGCTTTTAATAATACAGTGGTCTTCTTAATTTATTCACATAATTTTACATTTATCTTTATAATGTTATAAAAGCAATTGTGCAATTGTTTTAATAATAAAAATTTAATTAATAATAATAATTAATAATTTTATTCATTTATTTAATATTTTGAATAATTGAATTTCAACTAAATTGATTTCACTTCAATAAAAACCAAATATAGTTTATATGAGATCTTATGAATTATTTATTTATCATGAAGATGTGATGGCAGAGAACTGACTGACATCAGAGATATATCATGTTCAGTGGATTTATTTAGGCCTCTTCATGGCTCAGCTCTTTTCCAAAGAGGACAGACACAGGTTAGTTAATTAAAATTTTAAAATATAATTTTATGCAATTACTGTGTTATATAAATTGAATACTCTTTCATTTGAAAAGGGAAATTAATAACTATAAATGTACAATGATGGTGATAGTTGTTTCTTTAATATGGATCATGAAAATGACTGACAAAGATTACAGTTTCTTTAAACAATCGCAATCATAATAATTATTAATTAATAATTCTATATCACTATATTCCAAGCATTTTATGAAGTTAATATTAATCAGTTTCTACTAATTTTATAAAAATACCAATAAAATCAAAACTCCAGCAAAATTTGTGATAATTTAATTTAACAAACAAATGTTTTTGATAGCTTTAAGCTATTGTCATCAGGTTGAGAGCACTTTTTGAAAATATAAAAAGATTCGAACGATGATTTTTAGATATTGAGAAAGTGCAGGTGATTGATTGTTGGCATAGTAGAATGGTGAGACTTGGTGGATGGTGTTACTGTCCTTGAAATTGGTGGCAATATTTTTCTTACAAATTTTGTATATCTTCACTAATTTAAGATGTTTAAATGATGGGAGTTTTTTGGTTGGATGTAGAAGTTGGGCCTTGTGCAGATGTGCTTAGATCTGTATCCAACCAGAAAGCTTCCATCACAAAATTACTGGGCTCTCCCACCACGACCAGGTGGTGACCACGGGAGAATTATCATCATCATCATCATCATCATCATCATCATCATCAATTATCTTGATTATATTGTAAGAATAATAAACTGTAGATGAGTGATAATAATAATGAATTTTTTAAAACTATTATAGGTTTTATGTACAGTGGCATTTGATTCACTGGATTCTTCATTCAGAGCTGATCCTATGTCTGTAATAACAGGGTAAATTTACAATTTGTTTCATCTTTTAGTATAATATTTTAATATACAGGTAACCCCCATATAACACGGCACTTCTATAGCACGGATTCACTCTAACATGGTTCGAGAATTGGTACCACCCCTGTATAACACGGTACTGTTATAGCATGGTTTCACTCTGACACGGTTTGAGAATTGGGTAAAACCCTCCTACAACATGAAATGTAATAAATTTTTACATACTTAAGTAATAATAGTTCATGAAAATTATTATTTTCATGAACTGTTAGTACTTAAGTATGTAAATTTTCTTTTCTTGCCTTCTGTCCATACACATGGTCCTTCTTGAAACTTGTTTCAATGTTGCCAGATCTCGACGCTTCTGCTTCTGATGTTGCCAGATGTTTTTCCCTTATTTTATACTTGCTTTATTCTTCATAAGTGCTTAGCACCATATGAGGAAATTTATAAAGATCTTTTAACTAGAAGCAAGCAATCTAAAATTACATACATTTTGCAAAAGGTAAAGCATGGATCTGAAGATAATGCAGAAAAATGCTCAGAGGATAAGGATA